CCCCTTGTCCTCCTCTTCCTTGTCCCCCTCCTCATTGCCCTCATCCTACTCTTCCTCATCCCCCACCTCATCCTCCTGTTTTCCATCCTCTTCCCTGTCCTCCTCCTCCCTTGTCTTTCTCGTCCTCATGCTCCTTGTCTTCTTCCTCCTCATCCTCTTCCTCCTCCTCCTTGTTACCCTTTTCTGTGTCCTCCTTTTCCCCGTCCTCCTCCCATTGTCCTTGACCTCCTTCTCTTCCTCCTTGTCCTGCTCTTCTTCCTCCTCATCTTCCTCTCATCCTTCTTGTCCTCTTCCTCATCCCCCTCTTCTTGTCTTCCTTCTCTCCCTCCTCCCCCTCACTCCTCTCACCTCGTTTCCATCCTCATCCTCATCCTCACCCCCAGGGCCCCTCTCGCCCCCATTACCCCCCCTCAGACCCCCCAGCCCTGCCCACATTGGGGGGACACTCCATGTCCCTCCCAGCCACCCCCCCCTGCCATGGGGACCCCCCTGGGCCCCCCCCGCAGCCAGGGGTGAGCTCGGGAGTCACAGTGCCAGCAGCCCCGGGGGGGGGCCGGTGGAGCCCCCCAAAGTGGGGGTGTCCCGCTGACCCCCCCCCTCTCTCCGCAGGGGGTGCCCCTGGACACCACGAAGCTGCCGGAGCAGCGGCTCCCACCGTACCCCTACGGCCAGCCCGGGGTGCTGCTGGGGTCCCAGCCCCCCCCGCGGCCACCCGCACCCCCCCCGCGCCCCTACGGCCCCCCCTACCCCCCCCCCGGCCCCTCCCTGGGGCAGCCCCTGGCGCAGCCCCCCGGAGACTTCGGCCTGGGCAGCGTGAGTGGGGGGGCACGGGGTGGAGTAAAGAGGGGGAACCCCTAATACAGCTCTGACCCACGGGGGGGCATGGAGGGAACATCGGGACGCCCCATGGGATCACCGAGGGGAATATGGGAATGGGGACCCTTGGGGGGGTCACTGGGGGGAACATGGTGATGGGGACCCTCAGAGTCATTGAGGGGGACATGGGGATGGGGGACCCCTCCAGGGGAGTCACTGGGGGGGACATGGGGTCAGGGGACACTCTGGGGGGGCTCACTAAGGGGATCACTGGGGGGACATGGGGACAGGGGACACGCCAGGGGGGCTCACTATGGGGGTCACTGGAGGGACATGGGGCCAGGGGACACTCCAGGGAGGCCACCCCTAACCCTCCTCCTCTCCACAGCTGGAGCAGTTCGGGATGGGGGACAGCCCACCCGGGAACAGTGGAGGGTTCCCCGACGACCTGGGGGCCCTCAGTTACCCCCTGAGCGAGGGGGGGCTACGACCCCTCTGCCCTGAACCGCCCGAACCTGAGCAACTGCAGCCGCCACGGGCCCATCCCCAACATCATCTTCACAGGTGAGGGGGCTGGGGGGCATCATGGGGGGGGTGGATGGGATGGGAGCTCTGAGTGTTGTCATGGAGGGGTGGGATGGGGGGGCAGTGGGGTATCAGAGGTGGGTGGGTGGATTGGGGGTCTGTGAGGTGTCACAGGGGGTCCATGGTGTGTCACGGGGCGTGTGTGTGTCCTGGGGGCTCTGGGGGCGTCACAGGGTCTCTGTGGGTTGTCATGGGGGGGTGTGCCCTGGGGTCTCTGGGGGTGTCCTGGGAGGGGGTGTGTGCCCTGGGCTCTCTGGGGGGATCACGGAGTCTCTGTGGGCCCCCCCATCCCTCCTGGGGCCGCACTGACACCCCTGTCGTCCCCCCCACCCCACCCCGCAGGCGACTCCCCCCCGGGGCTGTCGAAGGAGATCGCGACGGCGCTGGCAGGGGTTCCGGGTTTCGAGGTGGAGGGGGGGGCGCTGGGGGGGCTGGGGGGGCTGGAGGAGGAGCTGCGCATCGAGCCCCTCACCCTGGACGGGCTGAGCATGCTGAGCGACCCCTGTGCGCTGCTCACCGACCCCGCCGTCGAGGACTCCTTCCGCTCCGACCGCCTGCAGTGAGCCCAGCAGGCCCCCCCCGCCGCAGGGACCCCCCCGCGACCCCCGGCGCCGCCCCCGGGGCCACCCCCCGGCCCCGCCGCCCACTGCGCTCCCGCTGAGACCGGAAAAGGGAGCGTGGGGGGGCGCCGGGTGCCCCCAAAACGTGGCCATCGAGGGGTCTGCAGTGAGCGCGGGGGGGGGCTCCAGCAATGAGACCCCCCCTCAATTCCCACCCCCCGGGAAAAAAACAGGAAAACAGGGAAAAGGGGTTGATCCAGGTGCCCCCAAAGCGTGGCCATGGAGGGGTCCGACTGCCCCCAGGGAGCGGGGGGGGGGCTGCAGCACCGCAACCACCCCTCAAATTCCCGCCCCCGGTCCCGGCAGGCGCTGCTCTCCGGGAACACCCGGGAAAGGGGGGGAGGGGTGCAACCCAGGCCCTCTCCAGCCTTATGGCCCCCCCCAAATCCAGCCCGGGGGGTCCAGCACTGCAATCGCCCACCCCCCAGTTCCCACTTCCAGGTCCCGCAGATCCCTGTTCACATGGGAAAGCCCCAGGGCCACCTCGGAACTGGGAAAACTGGGGAAGGGGAGACAATGGGAGACAATCCAGGCCCCCCCTGGCCCCCCAAAATCAACCCCAGGGGAGTCCCAGCCCTGCGCTCCCCCCTCCGGTTCCCACTCCCTGCCCCCACTGGTCACTGTTCTCCCGGGAAAACCCTGGGAATGTTGGGGAGAGGGAGCAATCCAGGCGACCCTGAACCCCCAGACCTCAGCTGGGGGGGCCCGGCCCCCCCGGGGGTGGCTGTACATAAACCCGTAGGTAGAGACCCCCGGTTGGGGGGGGCAGGGGGAGCAGTTTCTGCCTTTATTTTATCATTTTTCTGGCTAATCATCATCTTTAAGGCAAAATCCCACTCCCCCCCCAATATGTACCCCCAGCCCCCCCCCCCAAATTACCCAACTGCTGGGGATGTGTAGAAAGCACTTGTAACTTTGTTCCCCCACCCCCCGAAAATTGCCCCCCCCCCCGGGGTAGCACGGGGGGAGGGCCCGTCCACGGGTGGGGGGCCCTGGGCCCCCCCGCCGAGGGAGCCAGAGTGATTTATAATTATTATTTTTTAAAATATATATTCTATGTTAATTAACCGCCCCCACCCATGCGTGGCTGATTTGGGGGGGGGGGTGCGAGAGGGGGGGGTTCAGCTGCTCCGGACCCTCCCCCCTTGGCCCTGCCCGGCCTTTGGGATTGGGGTTTCTTACTGGGGGGAAGGGGATCTTTTATTGAGGAAGGGAGGGAGAAATGGGGTCCCTTATTGAGGGGGCAGTAGGGTCTTACTGGGAGAGTGATAAGGGGGTCCCTTATTGGGGAGGGGGTGAAATGAGGTGTCTTATTTGGGGGTGACAATGGGGTCCCCACAATTCCTGGGGAGGCTTAGAGGGGCTTCTTGGGGGTGCTCGAAGGGGTCCTGGCAGTTTCTATGGGATCTGCGGGGGGAGTCCCGGGTACCTGGGGGTGTTGGGGGGGGGTGTCGGGGGGTGGGGGGACGATGCCCCCTGGCGGGTGCGGCGAGTCCTCCGGGCCGCCAGGAGTCGCTGCGGAGCCGCGCTCTGTGGCGGTCGCGGCCCAGCGGAACCAGGGACGGCCCGGCCCGGCCCGGCCCGGCCCGGCCTCAGGTACCGGGCGGGAACCGGGAGTCTTGGGGGGTTCGGGGGGACCGCAGAGAACGGAGGGCACACGGGAGGGCCGGGCCGGGGGGGCACCAGGGGGCGGCGGGCGCTGCAGGGCCCGGGGCAGGGCCTGTGGGGCGCGGGGGGGAATATGGGGGTGGGAGCGTGGGGGCGACATTGGGAGGGTACACAGGGGAGGACATGGGCACGGAGGACCCTTCTGGGGGGTCACTGGAGGGGACATGGGGATGGGGGACCCTGCCAGGCCGTGCACGGGATGTGACCCCCTCAGCCAAGGGGGTGTCGCTGGCACCAGGGGGTGTGACCCCCCCACCTCCCCGACTGAGGGGGTGTCACCGTCACCAGGGGGGTGTGACCCGCCCCCAGCCAAGGGCTGTCACCGTCCTCAGGAGGTTGTGACACCGCCCCCCCCCCCACGGTTAAGGGGGGTCACTGTCCCCGGGGCGTTGCGACCCCCCGGCCAAGGAGGCTGTGACCCCCACTCAGCCGAGGGGATGTCCCCGTTCCCAGGGGTTGTGACCCCCCTGGTTAATGGGGCTGTGCCCTCCCCTCCCGGGGGGCTCCCCTGGGGTCACGGTGCCCCGCCCCACTGTCCCTGCCCGGGGTCTCGATGTTGGGGTCGGAGTTGTTTTGCCCCCCTCGGGTGTTTGGGGCGTTGGGGGGCTCTCCATGGAGGGGTCGGGGCTGTTTTGTCCCCCAGGTGTTTTCGGGGGCTCTTCATGGAGAGGTCAGGGTTGTTTTGGCCCCCCAGATGTTTTGGGGGGCTCTCCATGGAGGAGTCGGGGTTGTTTTGGCCTCCCGGGTGTTTGGGGGGGCCTGGGGGGTGACGTGGGCGTTCACAGCCCCAGCACCCGTTTCCTTCCCCTTTCCTGCCTCTCCCCCTTCCCCCCTCCTGAGGCTCCAAGGACCCCCTGTCCTGGCAAGCTGGGGGTGCTGGGGATGGAGGGGGGGGGGGATGGGGATGAGGAGGCTCTGGGGACCTGGGGGGGGGCACAGGGGACAGATGCAGGAGGGGGACCCCAAACCAAGGGTGAGCCTGCAACCCGGGGGTGCCACGGCACGGGGTGGGCGTCCCACCTCTGAACACCACCCAGGGGAGCCTTCCGGTGCCAGGGGGGGCCCTGCTGGTCCCGGGGGGGGTCCCGGTGCCCCACGGCGTGACCGGAAACCTCCTCCCTTCCCGTGCTGGCGACTCCACGGGGCACCGGGGGGGGGGGTGGAGCTGGGAAAGGGGGGTCCAGTGGCTCCGGTGGCATTCCCAGGGTGTTCCTCCCCCCCAGATGGTGTGACATGGCGGACGAGAAGCCCCCCCCAGCTGGTGGATTACTTCGTGGTGGCCGGGCTGGCCGAGGCGTCGCGGGCGCTGGAGGAGGAGCCGGCACGGCCGGCGCGGCCCGCGGAGCCCATCACAGACGTGGCCGTGATCATCCGCTCCCAGGGCGAGGAGGTGCCCCAGGGCTTCACCTGCATCGAGACCACCACGTCGGGCCACCCCGTGGACCTCAACGCGGGGCTGCTCAACAACCCCCAGATGTTCCTGTGCTACAAGCGTGGCAGGGACAAGCCCCCCCCTCATCGAGCTGGGGTGAGTTTGGGGACACCCCAAGTGCTGCATGGGGGGCACGACGGGGTGGGAGAGAGGTTGGAAAGCTGGGAAAGGGGCTGGAGGTGCTGGTGAGAGTGGCTGGACGTGACCCAGGTATGCCTAGGTGGGCAAGGTCAGTGACACATGGGTTGGATCGGCCACAGGAGCAGGACAGGGGTTGTCCCCCTGTCCTGGGTCACACCTCAAGTGCTGTGTCCAGGTCTGGGCCCGTCAATTTGCTTTAAGGGGCTGGAGCACCAGGAGAAGGGTCTGGAGAACTCCTGAGGGAGCTGGGGGAGCTCATCCTGGAGAAAAGGAGGCTCGGGGAGACCTTCTGGCTCTCTGCAACTCCCTGACAGGAGGGGGGATCCCGAGGATCTTCTCCCAGGGAACAAGGGACAGGAGGAGGGGAAATGGCCTCAAGCTGTGCCAGGGCAGGGTCTGGTTGGTCATGAGGAGGAATTTGTTCCTGGAAAGGGTGTTCAGGCCTTGGAAGGGGCTGCCCAGGGAGGTGGGGGAGTCCGCAGCCCTGGAGGTGTCCAAGGAAGGACTGGCCGTGGCACTGAGTGCTCTGGGCTGGGGGCCAAGGTGGGGATGGGGCACAGGCTGGACTTGATGATTGTGGAGGTCTTTTCCAATCTTGGTGATTCTGGGATTGTCTGACTGTGGGATTCCGGGATCCTGAGGAGGGGTCACAGCAGCCCCCAGGGTCCCCCTCACTCCTGTCCCCCGCAGGGTGCACTATGAGGGCAAGGACCGGCCCAAGCCGGGCTACCAGATCCTGGACACGACCCCCTACAGCCGCTCTGCCAACCTGGCCTCGGGCTCCCCGGGCCACCAGCGCACGTTCCTGACGTTCCGGCGCGCGGCCGAGCCCCCCGGGCACCACAGCCTGGGCGTCACCGACATCTGCCTCGTCATGCCCAGCAAAGGAGAGACCACCCCCCACACCTTCTGCCGTGTCGACAGGAACCTTAACACCAGCATGGTGGGTCTACGGGGGTGCCTGATGATACCCCGATCCTACACTGACCCCCCTGATCCCGATCCCAGTCCCAATCCTGGTCCCTCCTTGCAGTGGGGCCCCGCCCTGTTCCTGTGCTACAAGATTGCCGTGGCCAAGGGCAACACACTGGTCTACGAGGCAGGTGGGGAGCTCAGGCTGGGGGGCCTGGACCCCCTCCCCCAAAGGGACCTTGGAGTCGTTTATTATTATTATTATTTTTCTTAAAAGTATATTTTATGGTAATTAACTCCCCCCCCACCCAGCTGGCACATGATGGATTTCGGGGGGGTGGAGCCCCTGGGCCTTCTCAGGGGGTTTGGGGAGTAAAAGAGGGTAGTTCAAGCGCTGAAGACCCCCCAACTCCTCCTGTCAGGCCCTCGAGGCTGGGGTCTCTTAGTGGGGAGGAGGGGGGTAGTGGGGTCCCTTACTGGGGACGGGGGGGTAAGGGGGTACCTTACTGGAGTCTCTAATTGGGGGGAGTGACAATGGGGTCCCTTACTGGGGGGAAGTGGAGTGCCTTGTTGGGGGAGCAGCAGAGTCCCTTACTGGGAGGGGAGTGGGTCCCTTACTGGGGTCTCAATGAGGTCCCTTACTGGGGCAGGGAGGCAATTGGGTCTCTTACTGTGGGGAGGTTTTAGGGGGGTGGGTTTGGGGGTCTCTGGGCACCCCCTCCTCATTGGGATGTGGGAGATGACCTGGGGGGCTCATCCTGGTGTCTGTGCGTCCCTGTGTCCCCCAGGGCTCCTGGGCCAGTACCCTGAGCAGGGGGGGGGAGGTCACCTGGGGGTCTCATCCTGCTGTCCCTATGTCCCCCAG